CACACACACACACACACACACACACACACACACACACACACACACACCAGGCAAAGCCCTCAAAAAGCCTCTGTCACTGTGTCTTGTTTTTTCCCTTCATACCCTCATAAACATGCACACTGTCAATCACGCTATGCCACCCATTTCCACGAGGGACTAAGATGGGTAGCTACAGCAAATCTATTTGCATATATACTTAAGCTGACACATTTGACAAGCAAAAAGTCGGAAACACTTGGCCTTCTACTAGCTCCCTTCTTCACACACACACACACACACACACACACACACACCCCCTTGGTACTGACATGCAATGCGAACGTAGGCACGGTTGCTCTTGGTGGTTCCGGCCGAGCTCCAGGCCACACACTGGCACCAGTAGTCATCCAACCCAAACAGCTCCTCCACCTGAGTCCTCGACACCGAGATGTCCACCTCCCGCACCACCAGACCTGAGCAGGCAGAGACAGAGACAGAGAGAGAGAGAGATATTAGTGGGGCATATTTTTCACGGCGCATATAAATAATGCATTGGCTGCAGGCCAAACGCAGTTAACGTGCACATAAAGTCCTATGGGAACTAATAGATTATGTAGTTGAAAATTATGTTTGTATTGAGTATGATGTTTATGTCTGTGAAATACAAGGGGACATTACTATGTGTTTGTGTAGTTGTGTTTACAGTACACCTATCTGTATGTGTGTGTGTGTGTGTGTGTGTGTGTGTGTGTGTGTGTGTGTGAATTACCCGTGATCTGGTCCAGGCTCTCTCTGGTGACGTGATCGTTTTGATTGACCCATTCTCCGTTACATTTGAAGTAGATCTGGGTGGCCGGTGATGCCCGGCACCGTAGCTGGACTGGCCGGTTCTTTACGATGAAAGCGTCCTCCGGTTCCAGCAGGAATTCTGGGAGAGGTTCTGCTGGTGCCGACGGGAAAGAGTCGGGGAGAACCTCGGCCTCACTGTAGTCGCTACTCTCTGAAAACACAGAAGTGATTTAGATGCATTGCAATGGTAAGGCCTGACTTATAGTGTCCGCCTGCTGGAGGCGTACTCGAGCAGTGCAGCCTCATGAGTATTTTGATGGCTGCTCTGTGGCTGAGCCTGTGCTTTGACCTAACTGTTGAGGGCGTAAGAAATAAACAAAATGACAAATGTATCCCTCAGGGATCAATAACACCAAACACCTGAAGAGAATATATTATACGCATGTGTGTATGACACCTTGTCTCAATCCAGCTTTCAACAACAAATCTGTCACCAGTGTTTCATGGCATACATTAAGGCAACGATTTTAGTGTATTTCAAGGTGTTGACAGTTTGCACTGTAAATGGAATGGCACGGTGACATTTTCGCCTCCTTGTATTTCCAGTAATCAGGTCAATGCAGGCCTCCTGCTCCGGTCTCTTTGGGAGAGTCCATGCCTCTCAGCTGGGGAGGAGAGCTGCTGACCTTCCGCAAACCGGTCCTGTTGATCGCACATTATCCCCCGACATCCTCAATGTGACAAATTCCTCCTGGCACATGCTGCCAAGAGCTTCTCCTGGCAGGAAGGACACAATATTGCCGACCTCTTCGCTCTGACATGTTTCTTGAATAATCATGGGTAGAGATCCCAGGCAGTATATCGATGCTGGAATGTCATCGGCTACGATACTAGTTTGCACAACAGTAGATGGATTTAAGTATGTGTACTGATAACGTTGCTATGTACTACCTTGTTTTTGACATGAATTGTCAAACAAATCACATCTCCAGCTGTTAACCCTTATATAGGGCTGCAGGATGGCAGACGATATGACGCAAGCTTACTCCGTGCCATAACTCCATTTGTCCATCCACTGAATTTTATCCTTGTGTGTTTGAGCAAAACACTGAAGCACTGGCAGACTGGCGAAGATTGTGTCACGTGACAGGATTACAGTATAGCCTCTGGCATGAAGAATAACCTGACCACCGTATAGCTATAATGGTCTGCCTGGAACCTGATATGTATAGCACACAAACTATACTATACACTTCATTAAAGTATGTTTCAAAAACAGATGCCAGAAAAGTTCCATTATTTTTATGCAATGTCTAAACATCATCTACTATCAAAATCTCATCATCACTTTCTGACTTTGCCTTTCGGGGAATACAAGTTGTTACTAATTGTTAATGGATCCCACCTTCCAATACAAAACTTTGCTCCGCTTACGAAAATGAGCTGAATTCAATAAGCATTGAATGGAAGACAGAAGCAGAGTGCAGACGATTGACAGGCCCGGCTCCAGTCAGTAGATGCCCTAAAGGTATGGGGATGTACAGCCCAGTGCACTTTCCTCCCCTGATTTACACACACACACACACACACACACACACACACACACACACACACACACTCGAGGGCATGACTTGTGGTGCTACAGTTTTTAAATCTTATTCTCTACATTCAGACAATCCAGACAGAAGTGGGAGGGCAAATGCGGGTACTTTTCCACAATGAGACTTAAAGCAGATACATTTGCAGTGTTCAGTTTTCAAAATGTATCAAGCCCAACTTGATCAGTTATTCCACAACCATGGAACAAGAGAAACTACTTAGAAAGATACCATCTCCTATTTTAAGAAAGGGAGCGCGTCCCCACCCCCATCCCACTGTTTCCCCTTGACAGACTGTCTGAAAAATTAAGGGAAAGCAAAGAGGAACACTGAGCATGAAGGAAGTGGGAGAGAAAGTTGTGGCGTGATTCAAACCAAAGCCAACAGGGAGTTGTGGGATTCAAGAGGCTGTACCATCTTCAGACAAACGGACGGAACCATCTTTTGACCCAAATATTCTCCACCACAAAAGGGCCGGTTTGAACAAAAAAAGCCGAAGTAGCACAGCTCATTGCCTGGCAGTGCTCTGGCCACAGGACAGGCAGAAAGGGCAACAGCTGCTCCAGGCCCAACAGCCATCCAGGACGGACCCGTCATCCTTAATCTGTCTCTCTCCATCCCGTCTCTACCGCAAACACATCCTTGTTCTTCACCAGTGACTTGTGTGATCAGAAATATAAAAAAACATGATTACTGGTACATATATTAATAAGTAATGATATCATATAACCAATCAAAATGACAGATGATGTTTGCACTATTTTCATCTACCTAATCTGCTTATTTTTACTCGCAAATGTACTTCTCCATAGTTATAACTTGCATCGCTTAAACCTGCATATTTGCAGACGAGGCCAACCAGACTAATTTAAAACCTAATTATAAATGTTATCATATCGAAGGTATTTTCATGTCTGGCTTGCTGTAGTGTTATCCTGATCTCACCACTTAACCCTCTTCCCACAAAAACAATACCAAGGCTGGGAACCTGGCCATGGTAGATGCATCGGCAGACAGAGGAGAAGAAGGACATCTGTGAAGGGGGGGAGAGAGACGAAATAATGTGCATTATCCTCTGTTGCTCTCCCACAGGTCTCTTCCTCTTTTCTCCCTGTTAAAGGAGGTTTTGGGGGAGTTTTTCCTGTTCCGACGCGAGGGTTCTGGGACAGAGGAGGTCACATGTGCACAGATTGTAAAGCCCTCTGAGGCAAATTTGTAATTTGTGATTTTGGGCTATACAAAAATTAATTGAATTGAATATATACTCCGTTAAACTATTCCTTGTTGTTAGACCTCCGAACCATCTGTGAGGAAAGAGCTCTATCCATTCAGCTGAATTATTATTAGTGTCTGTTCAATAAATATGTTTTTTTATATTTAAGAGTTTTCTCATCTCGTTTATTTCTCACACGGAGGTTAAAAAGATTATTTTCCACCACACAAGTCATGGTAGTACTGGATACACACAACAATTTTGTCGACTGATCGTTTTAATCTGTAAATGAGTTACTACACAAAGCATCATGCAAAAGAACCGTTTACCAGAGATGTGCTCATAAGTTTCATGGAAATAATTCATTCAGCATGAAAAAGCTTTTAAAAATTACTAATTGACAAAAGAAATATCTTAGTCAACCAAGATAGAGTCCACTAATCAAATAAAAGGGGACAGCCCTAATTCAAATGTACTTACTCAATATCACAAAAAGTTTGTGATGTACAATTTTCTGTTCACACACTGTCCCCACGCACAAGGAAAACACGAGAAAACACACACACACACACACACACACACACACACACACACACACACACA